GTTCAAACCCACCAGCCACTCCTCGGAAGGAAGGTTGGGCAATCTACTTCTGTAGTGATGCCTTCTGGGAAACCCAAGGAGGGGTCACTATGAGTCGGTCCGACTGGACTGCACATAACAACAAGAGCACTTGGCATCACCAGCCGCTCTGGCGCCACCTGTGCGCCTCGGTTTGGCCTCAATTTCAGGCCCAGTGCCCAGACAGCGATCTACCCCTGGGAGCCGACCTTGGGCCTGCGCTCCCGGCTCCAAGCGCGGGTCGACTGGATGCGGCTACCCTGGTCCAGCATGGAATCGATTGGGAGAATTAGGGGAGACTCCCGAGATGGCCGGCTCGAGGTTTCTCCAGGACTTCCTAGTCCCCACAGCCCTAACCAAGAAAATGGTCAGTGTAGAGGGCTCTGCGTTTTAGTGTAGGGTGCACCAAGCACGCGCTCCAAGCCCTGTCCTCCCTCAGCCAGTGGCTTGAGTGTTTGGTTTCTAAGTTTCAGTGAAGGCCGTTCTTTTGGCAGCACGCCAGGTCCTGGCTTGGCTGAGACCCGGGCTAAACACGGGCCTGACTCGAGCAAGGCGGATGCGGCCCCTGGGGGCCCCGCGCACCCTTCGGGACAGTGTCCCTGTCATCCGTGCTCTGAGCGCCCGTGGCTGTGCAGTCCTGCTCGCCGGCGCGCTGGGTGGTCGGACCGAGGCTACCCCAATACAGGCCAACTGCTAGGCGGTGGACAAAGGGGAAATGGAGCTCGACGCCCCGGACCTGTTGGAAGCATTTGTTCCAGTCAAGATTTTGCATTTGTTGAGTCCGAGAATAATGCGTGATTGACGTCAGCTCACAATGCGCTTTAGTGCATCGGGATAAATCGGAGCTTGTCCTGTGTTGTCATGGTTTTCAATGGGGTTCAATGGGATTGGGAGCACGACTGACTCTGCTGGCCGTCTCTCCGCGGCCCTGGCAATACAGATTTATTAGTTATGTCTTTTAAAATAAGATTAAATTGAAATGACTTGACTGTCTTCTGTGCAGACAGGGCCCATGAGGAACGAGGGTGGGAGAGGGCGCAGGCAGCAGATGTGGGAAACTCGGGGCCCACCGCGCCGCCGCACCCCAGCGCTGGAGTTTTAGAGGGTAGGCAGGTCAGCCTGGCCCGGGGCCTAATGGACTTCTCCCTGTCATAGGACGATGCCTGGCGAGAGGCAGAAAGGCGGAGGGAGGACCCTGACAAAGATAGCTCCAGGAAGCGTTGGGACAGACCAAAACTCGAGCTGAGCGTCAGGTAGCAGGAACGCTGGCCTGGGAGTCGGGGATGTGGGTTCACGTCCTAGTTCTGCCTCTAACTGATTGTAATCCCTCACCACTCACAGCCTCTGTTTCCTTCCCAACTGAAACGAGAGAGAGTAAATACATTTGGAGATTTCTAAGGACCATACCAGTTTTTTTATCCCATACCTTTGGAATTTTTCTAAAACCATCTTTATTGTAACGATTACTAGTGGATTCTGTACTCCCTCCCTTGGGTTCTGCTCCCTTCCTCCACAGGACTCTGACTCAGAATTCTCCAAGACGTCCTCAGAGATGTATTATCTTTTAAATTTCCCAAGGACCCTCCACAGTAGTGGGGTGGGGTGGATAACAATTTTGGAAAGAGAACCAAGTCAGGAGAAGCAAAAGAAAGTCTTTCCAGGAGTGACTGACCTCTCTTAGCCTTTTAATCTATTTAACATCCTAAGCCCATACTAACGTGTAGAAATAAGTAAATGGCGCTCTTCAGTCCCTAAGAGCTCTTCAGCATCAAATATTTGCTTTTACTCTTAGTGTTTGGCTCCTGAAGAAGCAGAGATACATCCCCCATCTAGCTCTGGAGAGGACCTGACTCATATTAAAGCTCCACATATTTCTTCTAGCCTCACGTTCCCTGGCTTGGGAACAGTGTTGCTGTGACCCAGTCTGCGTTTTGGATACCCTAGGGAAATGTTTTGCCTCTTAGCTCTAGAAAGCCCTGCAACTTCCTTGCCAGGTCCTGAGCTCAGCCCTTTCCCTAACATCCTCCTCAGGTCCCTCGCCAATAGTCCACTCTTCCTTTCAACTCTGCTCTAGAGATTGTCTGAATGATCTCTGAGAGTCAGAGCCTGGGGACTCCAGGAGGTTGTTCCATTTAAACTGTGCCTTCTGAAGAAATGGGGGAAAGGAGAGGAAGAGCCAAAATTACTTGCTTTTAAAAAGGTGCTTTCTTTATTGTCTCTTCACATCAGACAAACTTCAATGGGGGAGGAGAAAACCCTTTTGCTATTGGGTCAGTAGCTAATTTATGAGTTATGTATATCCTCCAATTTATAGGAGATGTTTAGATTCACAAATATCTAAGTGCATATTCTTTCCAGAGTTTCAATTTTTTTTTATGTTCCTTATATTTCAGCTTATTTTGCAATTCGACATAGCTGGTGAATATTGTTATTTAATTACATAGGTATTTGTTTTCCTCTAATTGGAAGAGAGGCAATTCAACCCCAGTAAGAGTTTTTAATCTTTAGGCATCTATGCTATAGTGTGCACACTTAAGCAGTATGCACTAATTATCCTTTCAAAAATATTATCCAGAGGTGGTTATCACTGCTGCAAGCTTAAGAATTTAAGGCTAGAAAATTCTGAAATAAAATTAAATTATCTTGATTTTTTATTTTTTTAAATGATTGCATCCATATCTTGCATACCATTTTTGAGTCCTTCCATTTTGGTTAAGTGCTTCACAAAGTCTTGCAAATCTATACAGTAGTGAAGAGAGGTAACTTTGCAAATTCTCCTTGAGAGATAGAGGGCCCTCAACTGGCAGCACATTTTTCTTTGCCTCACAGCAACTGCTCTCCCCTTTTTATCAGTATCTGGTTAAAATAGTGAAAGCAGAATAAAAATGGCCTTTTGACGCATCCAAGAAGTGGATGATCTTGATTGGCCTTGGGATGAGAAGAAAAGGCAGCATTTAAAATCGGACCTCTTTGCCTTTCCTTCTGAAAACTAGTTGCCATAAATAAGTAAACATTTCCCTTTTAATCGCTAATTATCAATTGCTTGATGGTGGTCCAGGCCTGTCTGGGTTCTTTCTTGCTTGTTTTGATGATATATACACAATGGGACAAGGAACAGCAATTACTTCCAGGCTGGAGATTTAGTACATCTTTGAAATGGGCTTTAGATTTGATTGTTTTATGCAAAATGACAAGTTTTGAAAGATCCCATCTTAAGTCCCTTAAAAATATTGCCTTTACATTGACTTATTTTGTATCTCTAGGAGGAAAGTTTTTCTTTCCTAATGCATTTGTCTAGTTGCTTACGTATGCATGTGATAACATACATAGCATTATATTATATATATAAGGATAATCAATGGAGACTGCTAAAATGGGTCAATTAATTTTAAAATAAATGTTTTTATGGTCTCTAAAGAGCTAGGAAATAACTTTAAAAATGTTTTTAAACTAGTTTATTAAGTATATCTGATCTTTCCCATGCATGCTGTCCAATGGTAAAATAAGGGTGGCTGTGATGTCATGGAATGAATGTAAATTGTCAGAATAAAAAGAGTAAGATAACTTGGGGCAAGGAGTTATCATATTTATTTGTCCATAAATTAACTCCTTATTTCTGTCTAATTTGAAAATAAATAAATAAAAGTACTGAGGTTATACTGCTTTGCTTGACTGAAGTAGATATAGTTTGTATAACCCAAGGATCTTATTTATGTTTATAAAATAAAGTTCCAGACCCTGAGTCACACTTAATGTCAGTCACATAAACAGACTGACAGGGTAGATTGACCGTAGGAACATATTTTATGATGCCCATTCCATGTTTATAACCACCAGCACTTCAGTTCAAGCCAGTTTTTTTTTTTTTTTCCTTAAATTACCCAAGCGTTATAAT